CACCTCCCTTTGTGGCCTCCTCTCCCCGTGGCCTTAAGTGCTGCGCTCAGCAGCGCTGAATCACTGCGGTTCCACGGGCACCACCCTCTCCTACTCTCGGATCTTGGTACACGCTGTTCCCTCTGCCTCCAACAGACCCTGCCTCCACCATTCCCGGCTATTCCAGCTCACCAGTCAGCGGGTGGCCTGGACGCTCTGTGAGTCTCCTCACCCTGATGTTGGCGGGGGAGGCACCTCCTCCCATAAGTTCTTTCTCACTTGTTATGGATATTTCCAAACACACACACAAAAGTAGAGAGGACAGTCTAACAGACGCCCTGACAACCTTCACTCCATGGCGACAATTATCAACTGTTCCTTTGGCCCAGACAGTGCCTCCACCTCCCCCCGCCCCAGCCTCAGGACATTAGCACAGCTCTTGGCCCAGAGAAGACCCTCAATCAAGAGTCCCCATTTGTTGAGCATTTGCTGTAAATTCAGAATCTAGTTCACTGAATCCTCAGAGCACCCCTGGGAGGCACGGGCTATTATAACCTCCATTTACAGATTGGAAAACTGATGCTCGGGTTACACAGCCGGTCAGTGGTGGAAAGCAAGCCAACGCGGTCTAATTCAGGAATGGAGCTACCCATAGAGACAGAATGTGAGCCACAGGGGTTACTCTAAATTCTCTAGTAGCCAATAAAAAGGTGAATTAATTTTCATAATATGTTGTATTTGGCTCAGTATATCTAAAATATCATTTCAACATGCCATCAGTGTAAGGCTTATTAATGAGATATTTTACCACCTATTTTGCATACTATGTCTTTAAAGTCCTGTGGGTTCTATGTACAGCACGTCTCGATTCTGACTAGCCACATCTCAAGTGCTCAAGAGCCACTGTACTGGCCAGCACAGCTAGTGGCCACCTCCCGGACAGGGGCCCTAGAGCCTCCCTCTCAACCACTTCTCCACTTAAATGAGTGAAGGAGAAAATGAGAGAACAGGACTCCCAAGGACCCCTGGCCTTGATGTTTCCTTGACAATTAATAATGCTTCATATTTGATGGCCCTTTAGAGCCTCCCTGGCACCATCTGATCTGCCGTGGAGATGAGTCGCCCTGCTCGCTGGATGAGAATTATGGTGCTAAGAGGGGCCAAGTGCTGGCTTGGACACACCGCTGCAGGCGGCCGAGCTGGGCCGCAAACCCACAACTCTGGACTCCACGTCCAGCGCTCTGCGAGGGAGGGGGCGAGGCTGCCCTTCGAAGCAGGACTGTGTGTGTGGCAGAGGATGTCTGCTCAGACCCCAGGCGGCCGGCTGTTGGGACGGAGGCTGCAGAGCCCTGTTCTGGCTGGGCCCCGGAGGAAGCCGTGCCCTTGGAGAGGGACAGGCCAGGCGACACACCGCTGCAGGCGGCCGAGCTGGGCCGCGAACACACAACTCTGGACTCCACGTCCAGCGCTCTGCGGGGGAGGGGGCGAGGCTGCCCCTCGAAGCAGGACTGTGTGTGTGGCAGGATGTCTGCTCAGACCCCAGCTGGGGTTGGGACGGCTGTTGGGACGGAGGCTGCAGAGCCCTGCTCTGGCTGGGCCCCGGAGGAGGCCGTGCCCTTGGAGAGGGGCAGGCCAGGCCAGGCCCAGGGAGAGGATGGGGCCCATGCCAGGTCCTCTACGGGAAAGAACTCTGTCATCCTTCAGTCTCAGTTTGGCCACGAGAGGCTGAGAACAAATTGGTGGCAATGAAGCCATAACTTACCTCTGAAGGCCTCTTTGTTCTTGGCAAACAGAGGGGTCATTAGTAATGGGGAAAGCAGCGGTGTGCAGACATAAATCCCCAGCTGCAGGGCTGATAAACAGCGCGGAGGGGACCAGGCCTCAGGGAGCCGGCAGGTTAACCCTGTGCCAAGAGTCACTGTGGGCTCAGGCCCGTGTCCATCCATGTGCAGACTGAGCCACCCCTGCCCTGGCTCTGGAGGCACCCGGAGACTTGGTCACCCACAGTGGCCCTAAGGACTCCCGCCTGCTCTGGGCGTCTCCGAGGCCCTTGAACTGTCTGTCACATGAAGAGGGCTGCAGAGCACCTGGGGCTGGAGCAAGCCCCACCGGGCACCCAGCTTGGGACAGGCAGCGTGAAGCTGCCCTTGTGGGCATCCCTTCTTCCTGTTTCAAGACGCAGGTGTGAGGCCCGAGCCTTGCAGGCAGTATTCTGTGCAGCAGTGTCTACGCTGGTTGAGGGACGTAGAACCGAGGCCAAGTCCCAGCCTTCTGTCACCTGCTCCCCTGGGGATCTGCCCTCCTGCCGCCTGCTGCTGTGGGCTCCCACTGAGGCCGGCTCGCAGGGAGACTACGCCAGGCCAGGGCCGGAGGAGAAGGGCAGGCAGGAACAGGTGGGTGGCAACAGGTGAGCCAGGTCTCGGGATGGGGAGGGAAGAAAAAGAGGAGGACTGCCCTTTCCTCAAGCTGTCGGGAAGGATTCGGGTGGGATTGAGCAGTGACAAGCAGGCCCGTAGCGGCTGCCCTGCGACTGTGGTCCAAGTGCCACCTTACCAAGGATGGCAAGTACGTGCCACCGGCATGGATGGCCCTCTCTCTTTCCACACCCAGAGCAGGTTCTACCCACTGAATACAGCACTCGGCCTGTTTGGCTGCATGGTCCTCTTCAGGCAGCCATCACCAATCAATCAGCGTTGGCATGTGAGAGGAAACCCATTTGTCATCCTTTCTCAAAACCCCAAAGCACATCTGTGCTGGCAGTGGGAAGCGAACAAAGCTATGCTAAGTGCTCCAGGACTTCCAGAAGTTTCTGCCACCTGCCCCCACCCTCACACACACCCCCTACCTGTAGGTTCACATCCTGACTCTCCCTTCTCATCTTGTTGTTTGCACTGGGAACTTGGTCCTGGAGAGTATGTCGCTGGACACTCATAGGAAGCGTCCTATGGCAACTGTCCCCAGATTCTAAGCTCCAAGCCCAGGCCAGACACCACAGCCTCAGCAGCTCCACCCTCTTGCCTCCTGCTCCAAGGGAAGGGCGAAGGAGGAAGAGCTGGCTGGGGTCATCTGGGAAAATTGGAGAAGACCTGGGGGTGAAAGGCAGTTGACCGGGCACCCAGCATGGACCTGGAATGGACCAATTGCCCTGCAGGATGGCCTCCCAGAGTCACTGGAGGAATTTCCGGTCTGGCCATGACCTCAGGCCAAGCCCTGGCTCCCTGCTCCCCGGCCCAGAGGCAATGAGATGAGGGGACAATCCCCCACCCCCCCTGCACTGCTGCCCGCCACCCCGACTCCATCACGCTGGGGGCTCACTGGTGCTCCCTCCAATCTCCAGTGCAAGTTCTTCATCACCAGGAGGTACTGGCTTTACTTCCCAGTTTGGAAAATGCATGGAGACCAGCAGCAGCCTGCGCCACCCTCCTCCTCTGCCCACCAGAGGGGACTCCGCCTCCAGCAGAGCGGCTTCCTTCCACGGACCGGCCTGTCCACAACCTGGCCTAAGGACCACCTGCATCTGACCGCCTGGGCGCTGCAAGAAAGGACCTTCCTGGCCACCAGCCCAGGCTACACAACGAGATCGGTGCCAGGGACTCAGCATTTCGGTAGGAGCCCCCGGAGATTCTTGGCTTATTAGGGTTTGAAACCCCACTATCCTAGAGTAACATTCATTCACTCACTTATTCCACAAGTACATGCTGGGGCCTACTCTGCTGGTAGCAGAACAGGGAAGCAGTGGGGCGGAGGGAGCAGAGGCCTAAACCTACACTGCTGCTCTGCACCGGAGCTGGCCTGGCACTGCTCTGGGCCTTGGATCCCCTGGGCTTAGAGGCACGACAGCAGTCACGCCAGCAGCTACCGGTCACAGGGAGCCCCTTATGCCCTCGATCCCCTGCATTTCCAAGGATGTGAGGGGTCTCCCTCCCTCCGGCAAACCCCAAGCTTCCCGAGAGTATTATTAGCTTAGAACAGTAATAACAACAGCTAATACTTACAGTACCTCATATACATGAATTAAGCTCTTTACATATACTGTCTTCTGACCTTTGCACCACCCAAGGCAGATGCTCTTATTGCTTCTGTTTTATGGATGAGAAACTGAGATATGAGACCATCCAAGGCAATATGCTCAAGATCCCAGCCTCTATGTTCTTGGTCACTACATCTTGGTGCCTTTTGAACTTTAGGGCGAAAATGCCCCCAAATGCCATTCCCTATCCTTGGGGGTGTGGTAGAAAGGTGTGATGGGGTGGACACTGGCCTGGTGGCCTGCCATCCTCGTGGCCATCAGTCCGACCTGCCCAGATGTGCCAGGCTGGCCCTTCACTGCCTAGTGGGCAGAGCAGGGAGGCCCTGTGTGGGCAGGGGTGAGAGGACAGGGCCAGAGCCACATCTGTACGTGAGCGAGCAGCTTCTCACAGAGGTCTCACCAGCTCCGTGCTCCAAAGCCACCCGCCCTGGGAGTGTTGGACAGAGCTGCTGCTTCAGTCAGTCTCTGGGTGGAAACATGGGTCCGAGAATCCATCACCTAGAGTCTGTCATTGCTCTGCTCAGCCAAGAGATCAGGGAGGGAGAGGAGGGCGTCTGTGCCTGCCCCTCTAGAGTCCAGGCGACACATAAATTTCTAATGGTCAGAAATGTGAAAAGAACATGAAACCAGCCCAAGCAGCTCTATTAGTTCTAAAATGATGTCAAAACATCATTTCTTCCTTTCATCGAGTCAGAAAAGAAAACCCAGCGTACCACAGGAGGTTAGATGGGAGTCACCCACGATCCAGGCTCAGAGCCCCTGGTGCAGATGCCTCTGACCTGGGCACTGGCACACGCTCCTGCCCCCCAGCATCGCCCAAAAGCCCCAGACGTGTTAGCCTCATCCCAAGCTCCCCTCCATCCCTGCTCCTTCCTCCTTCAGGCAGTCAGCCCCTCCTCCAGGTCCTTCCTCAAAGTTGGCCCTGGGGCGGGTACCCTCATCTCACCGTCCTGCACACCCACTCCCACAGCCAGGGATAGCCTGGCCTTACCTGAGACGATGGTGTAGCCAATCCCCCGGGGGCGTCCTTTGTCCTGGTCGATGGCGGTGATAACGCGTACGGTGGTGCCCTGGGTGGGAGAGAGAAGGGACTTGAGTTTGGCTGCGAGGCCCCCAGGCTGCTGCCCTCTTCCTTTCTAGCTGTCCCAGAACCCGGAACCGCAGCTTCCCTCTCTGGATGCTGCAGGCCAGCCAGGGGAGGGAGTGCCGGTGCTCAGGCCTCAGGTGTCCCCCTCGCCCCTGGGACATACACTGAGGCCCCCAGGCAAACACCTGTGTCCTTAGGAGAGGCCGATCTTGCTGATACTCTGACTCGCCCTTCACCTCCTCATCTCCCATCATTCGGTGAGACCGCCCAGGAGAGGAGAGCCGATGGAGGAGCAGCCAGTCGGGGTGCAACAGATCTGGCTTCTATTTCAATCACCCATCCAATTGCTGTGTGGCTTTAGGTCAGTTGCTGCACCTCTCTGGTCTCAGTATGCCCCACCTTAATACGAATAACAATAGAAACCCTGGGATCTTGTTCTCACTAGGACCTGAGTAAAGGAGAACATCAATGATCAATTACTCTAAGAATGAAAGCACCATAAATCCTAAAAGTGAAGGTCTCCAGGGATGACTGTGGCAACCCTGGGCCCTATGAACCATTGTCCATCCAGCACCACAACCCACAATTCCTACCTCAAATGGCTCTGTCCCACTTCCCTTGTATTTTCCTTGCAGTGCTAGAGGAGGTGGGGCCAGGAGCCAGGACTACCAGGATGGGGATGCAAGGGTCCCTGCTCTTGGGAGCACAGAGCCTGTGGCAAAGGGTTAAGGACATATGCATGCACACTACATACATATGGGGTGCTTAGATACAGAAGTCCACCTGGAGGAGCTGGCAAAGGATTGTACATGTAGTGACAGTTAGGGTGGGGTCATAAAGAATGCGTAGGAGTTTGCCAGGGAGAGAAATGAAGAGGAAGGCGTTCCAGGGAAAAGATACAGCACAGGCAGGGGCTGAAGAACGGAACTCTATAGCAATAAATCCACGTGAATGGGCACATTCAACTATCAATTGATGATTGAATGAATGAATGAATGAATGAGAGGATTCTGATATCACTACCACTTGCTGAGTCACTAGCTCAGAGCAGCCTTCCCTTTGCTCCCCAGGCCCTACCACACCGCTGTCCGGCCAGCCATGCCGGCTCACCATGCCACCTCAGATCTGGCCCAGGCTGCAGTTTTCCCTGCTCAGTGGACAGCAGGATAGCCCTGTCCTTGTCCCCTCAGGAAATATCAACCCTGTCATCTGCTTGCATAATAAAGGGTCCCCTGGCCTTGGTGCCTCTCACCCACTCATCAGCTGAAGTCTGAATCCCGCAGGCTGCACCCTGCGTCCCCATCTGAGCACCTTCTCCTGTGGCGAGAGGCTTGTTTCCTGACACGGGCCCCCTGACCTGGAGGGTGGGGCCCTGGGGTACAAGGTGCCTCCCCTCCAACTCCTCCTGTCTCACTGCCAGGACACAGGAGGGGCGCCCACCATCTCACGCTCCCCAGCCGATGCTGCCCCTGCCCAGCTGTCTCTCCATGTCTCCTGGAGCCCAGGGGTGCAGCCCAGAACAACTCCCGGGTCGGCTGAGAGGTGAGAAAGTTCCAGGAGAAATGTCTCCCACAGAGAGATGGACACAGTCCAGGGGCCGAGGCTGCACAGAAAGCAGGCCAGATCCCTCCTGGGGCCCCTGCCCAGGGACAGCAGCTCTGGCTAGATCCCTGTGAGAAACGGACTGTTCTGAAGAAGCCAGAGAAAGACACTGTCAGATGAGCATCCCACTGGGTGGGCTCTGAGGACCCGAGTGGTGCCAGAGCCTGTGAAGTACCAGCTGCAGCAGGAGCTGTCCTGTCTCGAGCAGCCACACGGTGTCACGGCTGCCCGTATTTTCTATGTACCAACTCGCTTCCCCCTTACAACAGTCGAGACAGCCCCATTTTACAGAGGCAGAAACCGAGGAACAAGAGTTAAGCAGCCTTTCCACGTGAATGATGAAGCCAGGATTCAAATTCAGCTACTTCGGCTCCCAAAGGATCTTGCCTGCCAGGCGCTGCTGCCTCTGCCGCAGGCTCTGTTTCAGTAACGGTAACGGGTTATCTGTGAGGGTGATTGCTATAGTGCTTCTAGACCAGGGGTGGGCAAACTTTTTGACTTGAGGGCCACAATGGGTTCTTAAACTGGACCGGAGGGCCGGACGGGCCGTAGTTTGCCCACGGCTGTATCTAGACCAAGCACTTCACAAGCACTAACTCAGGCCAAATTTGGGAAAACCTACTTACCCCACCCCTGCCTCGGAGATGGGCAACAAGTGTTACTAGGCTTAAGGCTTCCGGGAGTAGTCAAGTGGCAAGGAAACCTGGCACCCTTTGTCCCCAGACTTGCTCATCTGAAGACAGACTCTTTCATGTAGCATTTGTTAACAGCCCAGACCCGGGAGCAGGGGAAGGCCGTTTGGAAAACCCTGCACTGACTTGAAGGGTACACCAACGCTTCCCCACACCACCCTACAGGGAGCTCCTTTTTGGAGCCTGCCCTTCTGGGGGTCACTCCTCACTTAGGAGAGGCCTAAATTTGTCCCCAAGAGGAAGCCCTGAGGGTGTAGGACTCTGGCAAAGGCTTTAGCTTCCAGGACAGGCTTTCTGGACTTGGGGACAGCTCCCTTCTTACAGCCTCATCTGGCCTGGGCCACACACGTGTTCTGGCATGAGGGTCCCGGGGCCGTCCCTGGTCTGCTGAGGGACTGTGGGGTTTGGGGGCGTGGGCATTGCTGGCCTGTGCAAAGAGGAGACTTAGTGGATGAAGAACCCTCAGTCCTCATAGCTGTGCGGGGACCTTCCCCGAGGCCGCTCCTGCACTGGCCGCCTGGCAACCTGGGTGGCAGGGCTCAGAGGGGTCTAGCAGGCAACCCGGCACCGGGCAGCAAGGAGGCTGGCTCCCCAGGCAGAGCCACACCTGAGCTTCTACAGAGTCAGATCTAAAAGGCTCCTGACAAAGTTTGGGATTTCATCTCTTTTTGGGTAACTAAATCCATTTTTAATAAAACTCTGAGCTTTTAATACAAGTGCAGCCACAAGGACTGGCAATGTTATGAGAAGGTATTAACAGGGAGGAATGGGGGCTCTTGGGAACCCACGAATCTTGTTTCAGATTATATTTTCAATATACTGAAACTTATTTCCAAAGACGAGGAGCTGGAGAAGGAGGCCTCCGCCTGACCCAGACTGGGCCCCTCCCTGGAGGTGCACCAGCGTGTGGCAAGGAGAGCAGGTGGGCAGGCTCAGGAGGGCTGGAGGTGGGGCTCACCCTGGCATGGGCTTCTTCTCCTTCCAGGAACCCACGCTGTGAGGAGGAGGCCCCTTGGGAGTCCCCCAGAAAGGCTGAAGGTACACGGGCCTATGGAGTCCCAACTCCTTGTGGTGGGAAGAGCAGTACAGCAAGAGGGTTAAGGTTTAACTCTATGGCCAGACTGCCTGGGCTTGAATCCTTTGAGTTACTTTACCTCTCGCTGCCTTGTTCTCCCCATCTGTAAAATGGGTATAATACCAGTTCCCCACCCCCTCAGCAAATGACACATGTAAGGCACTTGGAAGAGAGCCTGGTCCACAGCAAATGCTATAAAAGTGCCTGTTGCTACTCACCGGGGCCGGAACCGCTGTGAGCATCCTATGCAAGCTGAGGTGCTCTCCCCTGAATGCATGTGCCGTTCCAAACAATGTTAGCAAATTCAGACTTCCCAGCACCTACACTAGTAATCCCCACCCTAGAGGTAAGGCGTTTTCTGAGGGAGAGCTAATATTTGGGGAGCACCTACTATGTGCCAAGCACGATGCTGGGCGCCCAACACAGGCTCTCCACCTTTTCCTCACAGCCTCCACAGTCAGGGTCCACCTGAGGGAACGGGCTCTGAGGCTCAGGGATTGCTTGAAGTCACAGGTGGGTGAGCGTGCCTGGAGCGTGCAGGGCAGTGTTGGGGTGGGCCTGGGTGGGTGTGCCAAGGCAAGGGGTGGGTGAGGGCTGAGAGGCAGCCTCACTCACCCCCCCGCCCCCCATGAGGCCTGCTACCAGTAGGGTCATCCGGGCAAAGGCCAGGAAAGCTGAGACTTCTCCAGAAGGAATGTGTGGCTCCCTGCTCTCCGAAGCCTGCCTCCTTCCAGAGACGCGGGCCAGGGGGCAGCTGAAGCCAGCACCGGGCTCTGCCTGCCTCCATCCTCGTCCACCTCCCTCTCTCCCTTCCCCTTCCCTCCCCTCCCCTCCCCCCGTTTCACGACAGGATTAAGGACCTGGAAGGGGGAGTCTCTCAGGAGGGGGAGGTGCCCTTGGGGGGAGCCCGGTGGGGGCTGAGGGGACTTCCGACCAGAGCTGCCACAGCAGATTCTGAGGCAGAAAATCCTATTTCTCAGTTCTTAATTCCAGTCAATTCCAGTCAAAGGGCTGATAGGCATCGGCCGGCAGTAATTTGTGCAGTTTATCCGCTCTTTTCACCTTCTATCGGTCCTTCACTGACGGGCAGGCTGACATGCCGCTGCTCGAGTGAGGAAATTAAAATTTGATGCAATAATCCCAAATAAGAAGGATTTTATTAGGTAATATATACACTTTAGATGAGGCATGCTGGCCTGATACTGTGATAGAGAGAGGCATACATGCTGGGAGCCGCAGATAAAGAGGGAGAGTGGGCTGGGGTCCGAATGGAGGCCCCGGCCAGCAGAGGCGAGCAGGGCTGGGAATGGGGCCGCCTGGGTCCCTCACCCGGAGGCTGAGCAGGCCCGGCCTGGGGTGTTCTGCGTTCAATCCGGGCTCCACACTGTAAAGGCACGTGGAGGGCCTGGATCAAGGCACAGAAACCAACTAGAAGCCTGGAAAATCAGGCTCGGGTGTGCGGGAATCGGCCTATAGCAGAACAGCCGTGCAGGGGGCTGGGCGCTGGAGGGCTCCTTCCACGTGGGGGACAGGGAGGAGAGGCAGAGGCGTGGACGCAGAGATGGCTCGGTGGCCCCAAACCCACAGGAAGGAAGGCTTCAGTGTCCTCCTGGGGACAAAGGGACAACCTAGCAAGGCAGAGAGATCTCCAGATCCCTGCACCCGAGAGAGAACACATCAGATGTAAGAAACCGAGCATCAGGAGAGAGGCGCTAAGGGGAGTAGGTGTCCCCGTTTGCCGGACCTGAGGGTCACCCTAGCACAGTGATGGCGAACCTATGACATGCGTGTCAGAGGTGACACGCAAACTCGGTTTTTTTGGTTGATTTTTCTTTGTTAAATGGCATTTAAATATATAAAACAAATATCAAAAATATAAGTCTTTGTTTTACTATGGTTGCAAATATCAAAAAATTTCTATATGTGACACGGCACCAGAGTTAAGTTAGGGTTTTTCAAAATGCTGACACGCCGAGCTCAAAAGGTTCGCCATCACTGCCCTAGCAGGAGCCTGTGGGATTATCTGGAGAGGAGAGGGTGTGGCTTAGCACAGGGCCCCCCACACAGGAAGGGCTTAATAAACATCTAGTTTATTAATAAAAGTGTGAAACATAGAGTGAATAAATGGATAAACTCAGAAATCTGCAGATCTGAAACAATATTAATATTACTTGGCTACGATATAGGGATGACAGAACAAAGCACACTGAAGGGTCTCAGAGGACCCGCATTGTCAACACCCTTCCTACTGGCTATCGGGGCTCTGAGCTGAAGCTGAGGCTGGTACCCCCAGCCCAATCCAACTTCTGTACCCGAGGACTGGCTGACTCATAACCACCGGACTGACCGCCTGCAGTGCTGGTGCCTGCGCGGCACCTGCTGGGTGCTCTACCCGTGTGCTAAGCCCTCAGGGAGAGGGGCACTGTGGACATGACTGGCCCGTCTCCCACGAGGAAGCAGTCTGGAGACTGGTGATGTGGCCAAGGCGAGTGCATGGCTGTGCAGGGACCTTCTCCAAGTTCCTCTGGCTGCCCAGCCACCATCACATCCTCACTTCAATCAACAGGTGGTTCTACCCATCTTCTCTGCATTTGGTCCTGGGCACGATGCCCTGGGAGACCCACAGGAAGCTTGTGACAAGCTCCAGAGACTCGGGTATTTTGATCCCTGGGGGCTGTAACGCCACCCACTTGCACATCAGTGAACATTACAGGTGTGACTATACTTTAGTGGTAAATTAGGCAGCACAGGGAGTCAATTCCACCAGAGCTGAGGGGAGAGGGATGGCTATGTCTGTGGGCCAGTGAGGATGAAGCCAGGAAAAAAAAATTTAACAAAGGTGGTCAGTGAGCTGAAAACCAACAGATGGTCTCTCACATGAAGGGTGATGACTGGGGTGAGGGGGCTGGTATGACCCTTCACTCATTCGCTCATTCATTCATCCATCCATTCATTCCTGAGCATCCACGTTGTGCGATGCCCACAGCAGACCCACACCCTGCTGAGGTGTACTGTAAGTCCATCCGAGGAGCAGAGGCGGAGCAGACTGTTTAGGGTCATGAGAATTAAGACGGGGTGTCCGGGGCAGAGGGCAGGTGGGAGGGCCTGCCTCCTGAAAGGTCAGGGAAAGCCCCTGGCTGAGAAGACGTGAGCTTAGCAAAGATGTCTTAGAGGAGACAGCCTTCAGGCTCAAAGGCTGGAGCCTCTGCTTCCATGGACCACCACGGAGAAGGCTGTGGTAGAGGCACCGAGACGCCCCCTCCACCCTCTAAAGCGGCTCAGACACCCTCTGTAGGAGGCCAGAAAGGGTCTTGTTTGTTGGACCCTTCAGTCCATATCTGGGCCCAAGAAGGAGGTGGCTACCCCTGCACCCCCAGAGGCTGAAGCACAGTGCGATCGTCGGGCCAGGCCGAGTCTCCGAACTGCAGGTCAGGCTACCTGGCCTGTGGTGGCCCAGGGGCGCGGTCTGCAGCCACGTCAAGGGAGGCCCGCCTCCCGCGTGCCCAATGCTGAGCGCCTGTGCGGATGTGCAGGCGGGGCCCTGAGCATCCACCTGTATGTCCTTCCTCAAAGCCCATGGAGCCCTCTCAAAAGGAAGGGTGGGTTTTTCTTCCCACAGGAGCTGCTCCCCAAGCTGCATGTCCGAGGATTCATCTGCCCAGAGGAGCTGCCTTTTCCTAATTCATCAGCCCACAGGGGGTGTCTTGCCCAGTTTGCACAAAAGCACAGATGGCTACCAGGCGAAGGGTGCTGTCACTGCTCGCCTGGCCCACAGCTGAGCGGGCACAGGCGTGTGTTTTGCTCTTAAAGATACCCAGTCACAGTGGACTGAACCAGGGGAGGCACGTGGCCCCAGGGCAGGCTGGTTGGTGATCTATGGAGACCTGGTGACATGGCACACAACCCCGAGCACAGCTAATCAGGTGTCTCCTGAAATCCTGGGCTTGAGAAACCTGCAGCCTGAGCCGCTGGGAGGGGCGGCTGGAGCAGCGAGCTCTCGGGGAAGAGCCACGTCTGAGAGGGCCTGCAAGCAGAGGGCACGCTGCCGCCATCTCTGAGCAGTGTCCATGGGCAAGAGACGTGGATGGACCCATTGGCCTTGAGAGATAAGACTGAGCCACACTGGTGTTTCCGGGAGCCTGGCTGAGTCCAAAGCTGCTCCCAGCCCAGGCTGGGCTTTCCAAAGGTGTCCCATCACCCACATACATCTTTCTGCACTGCCCCCCTTCACTTTCCCTAGCAAGTCTTTGTTCTTTGCCGCTCAGAGCCCCTGGGGGTGAGGTGAGGTGGGGGTGTTGTGTGAAGAGGGAGGGAGTTGGGTTTTCACTCATAGGGATGGGGGGGAGCAGGAAAGCCAAGGAGGAACCTGTCCCACCGGGCAGGAGTCTCACCGGAGGAGAGTGCTCATAGATGTTGGTGCTGTAGGGCAGGTTGATGAAGATGGGGTCCATGTCCTGGACGTCTGTGATGATGATGGCCAAGTTGGCCAGGGTGGACAGAGGCCGGGTCTTGTCTTGATCCTAAGAAGACAAAAATGCACAGCCTTAAGTGAAGTGATGTTGTGGACAGGCACACATGCACACAGTACACACACGTGCACACATGACATTCACGTGCACAAACATGTGTGCAGACGAGCACACATGTGCTCCTGCACTCCCACAGGGATGTGGAAGTTCAAGAACTCAAGAACCCACACTGATCTCTGACCTGTGCAGGAAGACACAAACACCCTTCCTCCCCCCGAGCCCAGTGAAAGGTGGTTAACCCAATGTCGCAAACAGGCTGGAGCAGAACTCGGTCTCCTGCCCTCAGCCCAGCCTGGGCCTGACCCCCCTGGATATCTGGTGGGTGGGACAACTGGCTTGGGGTTCACCCAGGGGGGCACTGCTCCTTTCCATGCCCACTTTCTGCCCCCTCTAATCCCCGAGCATCAACATCAAGGGAATGACTAGGATGGGGGTTCTTAGAAGAAAGGCCCTTGGACCCCAGAGGGGCTGCTCTGGGACCTGCATCCCTACTCTGCATTCTGGTTTACTGATCAAGTTATGTTTCCAGTTGAACCAGTAGGGGGAGCTCCAGGGCCTGTGACATTGGGGGACTCCCAGGAAGGAATCCCAGGAGGTCACAGGCCATCCCCCTGTAGCCAGAAAGGCAATGTTTATACCCTCCTAGTTAGATGGAAATGTAGTCCTGTGAATGCTCACCAAGAAAGAAAACCTGAAACCCCTATTTTATTACCCTAAAATACACAGCCCACTTCAATAGCCCACTACTATTGAATAACAATAGTTAACAAGAATAGCAGCTGCACGCTGAATACAGATTATATACCAGGCGCTGTGCGAACACCGCACTTGCTTTTGTGGGTGTTATGTGTGTCTTAGCCAGTTGCGTTTACAAAGACTCAGAAAGGTTATGTAACTTGTCCGGAGTCACACAGCTGGTAAGTGTGTACCCAGGACTCAAACTCAGGTCCTTTTGACATAAAACTCTGCCCTTCACTCTCTTGATGTGGGACCTTAACATAAGCTCAGTCCCTGACTTGCTGGGTCACCTTGAGTAAGTCCTTGCCCCTCTTGGAGCCTCCGTTTCCTTTTCTGTGAGATGAAATGGCCTCTATGGACCCTTGGGCTTGTAAATTCTCTGGTCTGGGAATTGGGGAGCAACTGTCCTGGGCTTAGACTTGCCTTGGTTTGTCAGGGGTGACCTGAACACACATGGCATTCCCCACATCGCAAACCTAGTGCCTGCTCCTGCCCTCCCTGACGGAGCTGGGGAGCCTTAGGAAGGAAGGGCTGGTTGTTTTCAGAGTCCTCAGGGGCAGCCAAGGAGAGCAGAGGGCCTTTGGGGACGAAGAGTGTAGCAATGGAGGGGAGTCTGGAGGCAGGAGGAGCTGGGCAGAGGGACCACGGGGAGACAGCTTCCCAGGCTCCAGGACCACGGTGTCCACAGCCTAGGCTTGGGGACTGGCCATGGTGAGAGCTCCCAGCCAGGACCCGAATGGCCACCAGGCAGACACGGCCAGAGGAGGAGGCCTGGCAGGAGGCCCCTTGACCTCTTGGACAGGGGCTGCCAGTGGTTCTGATCTGCCCTTACCAGGCTTTTGCTGGCAGCTGGCTTCGTCTACCCTGGCACCTGCCCTCCCCATCCCACACTGTAGCTTCAGTCTTGCTCCTGCCACAGATGCCCACGTCCAGCCCACACTGGACTCCATGGCTGGAGACAGGGAGTGGGCATAGCTGGCAGGGCAGGCACCTGCCCAGGCTCCCAGCTGTCACTCTGGGCCTTCGGCTCTCGAGCTTGGCCACCTTGGTACCACCCAGTGGTGGCTGGAACCCACCCTGCTCCCTGCAATGCCACATAGGAGAATCTCCTTGGGGAAATGCCCAGCAGCCAAGGGCACAGCACCAGCCCCAAGAGGTATCTGTGAATGGGAGGTGGCGCGTGGGTGTGGGGTGGAGGGAGCCATCAATACCAAAGGGAGTCCTGCGCCCCTCCTGCTCTCCCACGTCAAGGCCTGATTGCTGGGAGATTAGCAGCAATTTAACTGTATTCACCAGCCCAGCTTGAGAGGCCCCGCCACCCAGACTCACGCCTGTGCCCAGCTCCGTTCTCTCCCCCACCTGCACGGAGCCATTTATACGGTGGATGGAAATGATCGCAGAAGGACAATCTCATAGTGAGAAGAGAGCAAGCATCTGTGTGTTTCTGGGCCCAGGGGTGGACAAATGGGGAGTGGTAGGAGGGGACCACCCATGTGTGGGTGCAAGGGAGTGCGGGAGGGGGCAGGTGGGTGCAGAAAGCGGCTTTTGGCCTTGCTAGTGCTCCAACCTCGTAAGTCAGCTTTGCAAATACCAGCACACACCTCCTCCCTGACAGCTAACACTTAACCGGGGAGAAGGAAGGACGAGGGTGTTGTCTGCAGTGGCCTCTCCAGGGGCTGTTGCATCTTGACCAAGCCTCGGGGAACCTCATCTCTCAAAATCAGGTCCTCGATCCATCTAGTGGGTCTTTCCCAGAGATCTGGGCTCTGTGACCGGCCATGTGGAGCGCACCCTGCTACTGACAGCCCCCACTACAGCGACATAGATCCAGGGGCTAGATGCTGTGTGTCAGGCAAATGGGTCCTGGAGGGTCAAGAGGGACCCCGGTGATTTGTTCCACTCTTGGCCTGAGCTTTGTAAAAAAGTCTGCTCTCCTTGCTACCAGCTGAAGGCTCCAGCTGTACCCGGAGGTGGTAGCCGGGGGCGGGAAAGAGGAGAGTAGAGGGCAGGACTATTTAGGGTATAGCGTGCCTGTCCCCAGGGCCGTGGCAAACAGCGGGCGACAAAGGAAAATGACTGAAGTTCTGGAGACAGAGACTCTGTCGTGGGCGCTGGACTGGGCGTCAGACAACCTGGTTTTGGGTTCTCATTCCTCCACTACTCCTAGGCTATGAGTCGCAACAGTGTGAGTCCCAAAATGGGATAATTATTTCTCTCCTGCCCCAACTCTCCTGACACACTCATCCTGGAACTCCCAGGGCCCAGCTTGGTGCTTGGCACAGATGGGTGCCCCCTACTGTGTGAGTGTCATCACTCTAGGGAAGTGGCCAGGCCCCTCCCTCTGTCTCCGGTGTGCTGGGTGGTGTCAGGACACAGCTGGGGTCACACCTCTGTCTTGTGTCCCACGGTGAGAGGCCACCCTGCACCATGAGTGTCCTGTGGGGTCACCAATGCAGGTGCTGGAGCCCCGCGGCCGGGAGACTGCGGACAAGTCACCGAATGGCTTCTGTACCTCAGTTTCCTCATCTGTAAACTGGGTCTCTTTATAATGCTTACGACACAGGGCTCTTGTGGGATTTAGTGAAGACAATCCATTGAGTGCTCAGCACAGTACGAGGGACATAGCACGGACCCTCAGCAACACGCGCTGCCATGATAATGACCATCACCGGCATCACTATTCCAGAGTCTGGAGTCGCAGGCTCTAGGTTGATGCTCTGCCACCCCCTTCACGGCTGGGAAGAGGCCATATCTGGTTGTGGGGCCCCGGCACGGACTCACCGTGGCGTTGACGGTGAGCTGGTAGGCCTGCGTCGTCTCGTAGTCCAGCTCCTGGATCACCGTGACGATGCCGCGGGCACTGTCGATGGCGAAGAACGGGGAGGGGGGCTGGAAGGAGTAGAGGACGCTGCCGCCGGCACCCAGGTCGGGGTCTGTGGCGTTCACGATGAAGATGGGCGTCCCCACCGGTGTGTCCTGGGGTGAAGCAAAGCAAACAAAAGGGTGAGTGGAGCTCGGAGCAGCTGCCTCCACCGCAGACTATCCCCCCAAAGCCCATCAGCCACGGCCCTCCAGCCAACCAGACCGCGGCCTTGTCGTTTTTATTCTAGGAGGGTTCGGAGGAACTTAAAATGCTGTATCTCTTTTCCCCCTTTTTTGATGGCCTCCTGGTGGCTGTAACGGGCCAGTTCCAAAGATGATCTGCTCATCCTGGAGTTCTGGATGAGAGCCTTTCGGTCCCAGCCCCTGCTTCTGGGCAGTTTCGCTTCCTCTGTTGAGTGCACCCCGGCCGCCCAGGCCTCAGGTCCAGAGTCCGCGTGTCAGGAGGTTTCAAGGGCAGGGAGTGGGGAGGTGTGCGCTCCGGGCATGTGCCGGGGGCCCTGGGGGCTTTGCCTGGCACCACAGAGGTTACCCGGCTTGCCCTGGGGTGGGGCACACACCTGCCACCCCTAGGCCAGGGCAGCCTGCCACCAGAGGGGCCCACAAGGCCTGCTCAAATCTCATCACGTCTGGGAGCCCCCACGTCCTGGGAGCCCCCACGTCCTGGGAGCCCCCATGTCTGGGAGCCCCCACGTCCTGGGAGCCCCCACGTCTGGGAGCCCCCACGTCCTGGGAGCCCCCACGTCTGGGAGCCTCCACGTCCTGGGAGCCTCCACGTCTGGGAGCCCCCACGTCTGGGAGCCCCCACGTCCTGGGAGCCCCCACGTCCTGGGAGCCCCCACGTCTGGGAGCCTCCACGTCTGGGAGCCTTCTGTGATTCCCGCTGCCACTCTGTGTGTAGAGACCCCTGCCCCTTTCTGACTTGGGGTCTCTGGTTAAATGCAACTTCCTCATGGAGACTTTCCAGACCCCTAAGGCAGGGCAGCCCCACTCAGCCCCACCCGGGTCACTGTTTATGCTCAGGGTCCCGCAGCACCCTGGGATTCTCTGTCCCCCACACTTCTATCATTGCACAGTGAGTGTCTGTCTTCCCTCAGAGCCCATGTGCTCCACGAAAGCCACGGGGCATTGCCTTGCCTAGCACGGTGCCGGGCATGTGTCCGATGTTCAGTAAACGTCCCTGAAGAATACACGAAGGAGCCTCCATGACAGCACTGAGCACACTATATTACGAGTATCTGTTTGCACCCACTGGCTTTCACCACGGCAGTGCCCGCCACAAGGCGTGGCTGGTAGGCCGTGCCTGCTGACTGTTGGGTGAGTTAATTTATTCATAATTTCGTGAGCTCTGGGCACATCTGAGGACAGGCAATCTAACGAGGCCCTTCACAGAGACAAAAAGGTAAAAATCTCTGCTCCCGCTAAAGATAGCTATAGGCCAGGTCATGTGCTGGGACTGCACCTGCCAGCTCTGTGGACAAGCAGCCTTCGAGGTGGGAGCCACTATCCTGTTTTTGAAAAGAAGCTGAGGTCTGGAGAGGTTACATAGTTTGCCCAGGGCACAGAGCTAGGCAGTGGGAGGCCTTCAGTCCAGGTCTAGCCCATGATCTCAAGCCCTATGCGAAACACTTTGAAAATACTGATGGCAGCCCCTTCCCTAACGCTTCCGTGGGGTGCCAGAGATGACTGCCAGCGTGGGTGGCTCCTCCCAGACAGGAAGGTGGGACTGGCTGTAAGCTCGCCGAGGGTGGACACCATACTTCTGGTCCTCTTGTGCTCTGTTTACACTGGGACAGAGACGGGTCCCTCCTGACACCTGCGGGCTCTTTTCAAGAAGAGCAACCACTTCGCTGCCCCTCTCCCTGCTGCCGGCCGTGACCTGGGCCCTGCGTCACTGCTGTGAGCAGCTTCTTTCTTTGGGGACCAGGCTTGGGCATGCCAACAGCCCTTCCCCAGAACGACCTGCCTGAGAAAAGGGTGTCCTTAATAAGGTCTCCGGTCAGGCTGGAAAGGACCCCCAGGGGAAACACCATGGCGCTCCCACTGTTTCTAACCCACGATTCTGTCCATCACCAGGCAAGTGTCAGGCTCAATGGCCGGGCTTAGCACCTGTCCTCCCCCACCCAGCACTGAGGACAGAGGCAGACGGGAGACCCCTCTCCCCACGGCACCCATGACTCCCCAGCGCCCTGTGCGTAGAACGCAGGCCCTCGCGGTCTGGGCCTGTCTCCTTCACATTTTACTTCCTGGCAGGTATGGCTCCTTGGCCTCTTCGCTAAGATCATGCGCAGCATCTTAGCAGTTTAATAGTTCCTGGCAGGTAGAGTGTACTTCTCAAACCCAGCGGCTCCCTCACACGCCTGGGTTCCTGAACCTGCCTTTCTTTGCTCAGTCTGCCCTGCCCAGCTCCGTGGCTTGGAAAACAGACGCTCTCCTTCCCTCAGAAATAGAATCAAGTGTGCAAGGGGCAGAGCAGACGAGTGCTGGGATTTCAGGGGTGGACAGACTTCGGTTGGACCCGAGCCTTGCCGAGTGTCTTTGGGCCGGTTTCTTAATGTCCCTGACCCTCAATCCCCTCTCTGTACACTGAGGTTAATAAGATGTCATAGGGTTCACATGAAGAAGAGTACAGGAAGTCATGAGTGTAAACTTCCCAGCATCTAATAAGGGCTTCGAAGATGGCAGTTGTGATCTTATTGCCGGACACCGTCTAGAAGACTGCGGACGAGCACCTTCAAGGGCAGGGCAGGGCAGGGAGGTGCCCAGAAGCACTATGCATTTTAATGACACTGCGCTGAGCATTCCTTGTCTGCACCCCCAGACCCACTGAGTACCCTGTTCTGCCTCTACCTCCCCCTCCATTTGCCCACACTGGGGTGACCTCATTGCATCCCCAGGCTCCCTTGCTGGCTAGCTTCTGCCAAAGGGGGGTGCTGGTAAGAGCTCAGAGTTTGGGGAGGCAACAAGAAGAGAAACAGGTTGGGGTGTTACTTCCCCACTCCCCCCAGCTCCAGCCCCACAGCCCCGCAGCCCCTCCTTCCTGGCCCAGCTGTAAGTGGCCTCTGGCAGCACTAAGCCCTTCCCTCCCCCACTCAGCCCCAGGGTTAGTGAGAGCTTCCCTCTGCAGCTAAGTCTCTGGTACCTCAGCATCTCTTAGTGGCCCTTAGCCACATCCACTCCTCCCCTGAGCCCCCAGCTGCAGTCTCTTCACTGAAATGCCTTTGTTGGAACTATTTGGGATGAACTATTCCCAGGGGGACCCTGATGGGACACTTCTGACACGCCCCCCACAGAGCCACCCCCAGAGGAGAGACACGGCTCCACTCCAGAGAGAATGTCAGCTGTCCAGCCTGCTGCCCCAGGGAGGAGAGGACATTTCACCTGTCCGTCCGGCATGGTCTCTGCAAAGGGTCTCAGAGATCTGATGAGAAGATTTAAGAGCAAGAGCCAAGAAGATAGAGGAGAAGAAAAGGGATGGTCCTGTGTCTGACCTTCTTGGCTTTTATGTTTCATGCCCTGCAGTGGAAACCCATTTAATTTCTGCATAACTTAGAAAAGGTTTTAAATAGGCCTGGCAAAGAGCCATCGTGTTCTTAGAAGGGACGGGCCATTGGAGAGAGGAGAATGCTGACTTCCTGCATTTCAGGTCCCGGGCGCCATGCTCTGTTAGGGAAATGAGGTGTGAGGGGACAGCCATCCATCAGCAGGTGCACCGCGGCTCCTCCGAGCACCCAGCTGCTGTTCCATGGCGATGTGCAGATGTGCTCACAGGTCCACGCAAGCAGATTTCCGCTGTGGCGCCAGGTGCGGCCGGTTTCCAAGCTCACCCCAGGCAGTGAGACTTGGTGGCTCGGAGCGTGGACGCCAAGTTTGAGTCCCAGCCTTTCCACTTACTTGCCGGAGCCCTCAGACATAGGCTGTTAAACTGACTCATTGGGCCTCAGTGTCCTCACATAAAGGAACATGTGAAAGTGGAGCTGATAACAGTACCTACCGTGTAGGCTTGAGAGAAAGATTACATGAGATAAGGGGGAGCGGGGGAAGCTCGCCGAGCCAGGTTCATAACAATATTGAGCGATACTCCATAAGTGGTCGTTGTAATTATTATTATGGTAATAAAATACCATCACGGGCAGCCTGAGACGAGCCCTGTTTAACCCCTTCCCCAACACTTTTTTTGTTAAAAACGTTTCTTTTTCAGACTAATTTTTTTTATTTTGGTTCTATATAGTATTTTTGATGCTGGTTATGAAAACAGTTTGTAATTATTTTTTCTTACCATTTTTGTGGTTAAGAATAGTATTTCCTCAGAAAGTTTCTAGATGAAATTATTTAGAATGGTACGTATGTAGCTGGTTTTTGAAGGTAAAGTTTTAGACGAGTATACTCGTCGACGACTGAAAAAAGAACATTTTGTGAAAACGTGTATACACGTTTCTGCCGGGGAAGGGGTTAAAGAGGGTATTAGAAACTGTAAACAGTCAGTCTCTTCATCATGAACGGAGACAAACGGGCATTTGAACATTCAGAAAGAGAACATTTCTGTTGACTGCCTCACGGTTGCTGCAGACAGGGTCAGAGTGGGAGAGCCTCTGGAGACCCTCCCACATGGGTTTGGGGAGCCTGTGGGAGGAGAGGTGGGATCTGAGCAGGGGTGGGCGGGGCACCTGGAGGCCAAGGAAGCTGCTGAACACAGAGGCAGGGCCTGGCCAGGCCCCTCCCAGGGAAGGCTTGAATGTGAGAGCTGGCAGGAATCTTGGGGAATATCCAGTCCAGCCTCCCCATTTTACAGATGGAAAAAGTGAGGGGACGTGCCTTGCACTGAGTCTCACAGGTGGTTAACAGCAGACCTGTGCCTGGAAATCAGGGCTTTGACTCCTATACAGTGTTTTGTCACCTCCCCCAGAGACGCCAACCACCCCTCCCCTCTCACCCTCCTTCCAAGTAAAGGTGCTCTTTACACCCACAGCTCTCTCTGCTCCAGGGGAGGGACCTAGGCAGCCATGTCTATACCAAGTGACTTCAGACCCAGGTACATCTGCTTGGTCCAGGGGTGACCACCTGACTCTAACAGCCCAAGCGGATGGGGTGTTGGA